TAACGGATTCACCAGCACCCTGACTCACCAGCCTTCTTCTCCCTTGCAGGACCCCTCCCTTGAGCATTAAGTCCTCAGGAAAATGAGGTTCTGCTTAGCATCAATAATCCTAGGGACAAAGCCTTGGGTCTTTGGTCAAACTAGAGATAATATCTAGGCCTCGTTAGTGTTTTAGCTTCAGGCCCAAAAAAGCAAAAAAAAATCAGACAGAACTGACACCATGGCTGACATCAGATGCAATGGCCAATGAACTCCCTACCCTAGTGCTGGCCAATCTGTAGAGACCACAATTCTGACCCTATATGCTTATTTGATTAACGGGCATAATTAAGAGGACACACCTGGAAAGTTAATGAATATTCTATTGAGATCCTCCCCTTAGACCTCCCCTAAATATCTGCCTTTAGAAAACAGATAAAAACCCTTAAGGACTTTCCATAGAACATACCCAAATATCTGCCTTTAGAAAACAGATAAAAACCCTTAAGGAATTTCTATAGAACATACCCACCTTCCTTTTTCGGGCATGTATCTTTGCTTTCTTTCTCCTACACTCTAAGGGTCCCCAGAGACTTGCAACCAGGGGAGCAGCAGGCAGCAGCAGCTCATCCTAAGCTACTCCTCGAACCTGTCTCTAAGGGTCCTTCTTCTGCCTCTATCACTTGTTTCCTGAGTCCACACAGCCTAGCTGGCTCACTTCTTTTCTCCTGCCTCCGTGACCTTCCCTCTAAAAGGCCAGGGCAGCTCTCTGGGCAGCCGGCTCAAATCTTTTTTTTTTTTTTTTGAGTGGACTTTTGTGCGTGCTAAATAAACTTCCTCTTGTGTTGGGGTTCTTGGGTCTGAATCCTTTCTTTGACGAACTCAAAACTGAGAGTCGACATCGTTGATAACACCTCTATTTCCTGGCCTCGATTCTCCTCATATAGTTCAATGAAAGACCTGTAAGCGAGCTCAGAAGTGGCCAGGACTGTAACAGCAAGAATTAGAATTGGGAGTCAAACGGGGTGGGGCTCCATCCCAGCCTGCGGTTTGTTGATGAGCTGTGGGAGCTCACGGGGGATTCCTGTGTCTGATCCCCGTTTGCCAACATGTAAAACATCTGAAGCAAC